CACTTCTTCCATAATTTGAGCTCCATCAAAATGAAATTGTGGCTCAGTTTTACCTTACTTCTATTATGTCAGCTGAAAGACTTTTAGCTCCTAATCAGTTAAAGCAGCATTTCCCAACCTGGGGAACTTTTAGATTTGTGAACTTCAACTCCTAGAATTCTTAGCAATGGCCATGCTGGCTGGGGAATTCTAGGAATTAAAGTCCACACATTTTACAGTTACCTAATTGGGCAATACCAAGTTAAAGAATGTATGGTGGATTATTTATATCTTTAAAACAAATTTATCATTTCAACTTAAATATATGTGCATGTATTACCATAGCCACAATCCAAGAGCCTTTTTTAAACATTAAAGTGTTTTATATTTTAACAAAAACTACTCCTTCTTCTTAGGGAAAAAATACATGAGTAGTACAGTGGTACCTCGAGTTACGAACGCCCCTCCTTACGAATTTTTCGAGATATGACCAGCTCTGGCCCCGATCGTCACTTTTTTCTTCAAAGCCTTCGATCGTCACTTTTTTCTTCAAAGCCTTCGATCGTCACTTTTTTCTTCAAAGCCTTCGATCGTCACTTTTTTCTTCAAAGCCTTCGATCGTCACTTTTTTCTTCAAAGCCTTTTGTGGTTTAAAAATAAAATGCATATGTTTCAGAACTGTTTAACCGTATGTATTTACATTGAACCTTATGGGGGAAATTTGCCTCGTGGTGCAACCAAATTCGGAGGGTGGAACGGATTAACCGTATTTACATTGAACCTTATGTGGAAATTTGCCTCGTGGTGCGACCAAATTCGGAGGGTGGAACAGATTAACCGTATTTACATTGAACCTTATGTGGAAATTTGCCTCGTGGTGCGACCAAATTCGGAGGGTGGAACAGATTAACCGTATTTACATTGAACCTTATGGGAAAATTTACCTCGAGTTGCGACCAACTCGAGTTGCAACCAGAGTCACGGAATAGATTAAGTTCGTAACTAGAGGTACCACTGTATATTTCTTTTTTATCACCAATATATCAGATTCAAACAGTCTTTAGGAACAAACATGCCCTGGAATTGCAGCCCTAGAAGTTTACAAATCAAAACTTCAGTTGATTAAGATACTGATTAACTTAATGAATTGATTTAACTAATTGCCCTGGGATTCCAGAATTGAAGAGAAACAAATTGTCACTTCTCCTACAATAGGAGACCAAAAGCCATGGGACCAGGAGGTGGGGGGAGCTATACCCCTCCCATCTTAGGAAAAAAACCAAAAGGGAAAAACCAACCTGGCCTGTTCATTGGCCCAAGAAGAAACGCTACCAAGAGACATTTCCTATTTCTGTACCTACCAGAAAGACCTCTTAGTTCCAAATGCCACATCCTACAACTGCAAAACTAAGAGGAAGTGCATTATCCATCAGGCAATGGACTAAGAGCTGCTGGATGACACAATACAATTGCAAACTGTGTTTACTCAACTAAAAGTTGGAATCTAAATATTGTAAATCTGGAACCCTAAAAAATAATAATATCCTGAGGTGAACAGTAAATCTCCTTTGAGTGAAGCTTGACTCCTGGTGACTCTATAGACACATCTATGCAGTTTTCTTGGCAACGATATGGAAATGGTTTGGTACTGTCTTCTTTCAGGAAGTTTTTTTCAACTTTTCCTACTAGCCTGCAACTATAGGATTTCTTGGTGCTCTCCCATTCAAATCCTAACTAGGACCTAATCTGTTTAGCTTTATCAAGATCAGTCAAGATCAATTAAGTGTTGCGTTTGCTGTGACAAAATATTAAATGTGCTAGGACTTGGTGAAAGAAGAATTCAGAAGTTTGGGCAATAGCAGCAAGAAACAATGGTGAGTTCTTCTATCACTGAGATTGCAACTCAGCCTCACATATGGACAAAGCCCATTAGAGAACTGTGCGAACTGTGGCGAATGATACATAGGTGAAGCAAGAATTATTTGGAAATCCAGTCAGCAAGTTCAACAATGGAGACTCTTGGTGGCTTCACTGCATTATCACTACATCCCATCCAAATAATTCAGCCTTAAATAAATCAATACAGAATACAGCAATCAATAAAATTATATTTCACAAAGTCACCCTAGATCTACTGTACAGCACTCATTCAATTACATTTTTAAAAAACCTTTTGCAATTTTTCCTTTCAATAATGGAAGCATAACATACATAAATACACACTCACAAGCAGATATCCTAAATATCTGTTATGATACAGCAGAGAACCTGGCACTGTAATTAAGGTTTAATCTGAAAAGCTGAGATCTTCAAAGGCAAATCTATCACACACCAATTTGAAAAATAATTTTTGTTTGGCCTTGCCAGTGCCTTTTGCTTCAACAATTCAGGAAAGATCAAACTATGTTTCCCATTAAAAAAAAATTTAAGGCAACACTGAACAGGAAATGGGCTTCCAATATATAATACTGGGCATTTTTCTTGGTCAGTGTTCCTGACCAAGTTTAACAGTGCTCCCCATTTCTTATATAGTTTGACTTGCAGCATTCTCTGCCTTCCCTTCTTCCCTCTCTTCCAAATAGACCCTGATAACTGTCTCCATCACAGCTTTACCCCTTTCCTGTGTCCCCAAAATGGCACCAAAAAAGGGAAGTCCTGCCTAATTTCCTTAAGTTACTTAACCAGGTGGGCTCTACCCCTATTTTTTAAAAGCTTGTGATTAATGAATGGGACTTACAGATCAGAGTTATAGTCCTGAGATAGAAAGAATCAGGGAAATGTGGGGGATGGGGGTGGAGGTGGGGGAAACCTTATTACTTTAATTATCTGTTTAGAGATTGAGTTAATAAACATGTGAGTGGGCCAGTCAGACAAGTAATTCTTCAAATGTTGCTCAGGAGGAGATGGGTTTTAGAAGCAATACAATTATATCTAACATGTATTTGTGTTTTTAAAAAGCCAAGAAAAGCAAGAAGAGGTTTTATCACATCATAACATGTGAGGGGTGGAAAAGAAGTTATTCTGTATATATCTGATTCCTCATTTGGATTCAGAAAAGATTACTGACAGCGTGGACAAATCACCGGATGGCTTCAAAATCTGCATTTTGAGTCAGCTCAAGGGATTAGCAGGCAGGATTCTTCCACAAAATCTCACGGCCAGTTATGGAGAGAAACTGACACCTATTGGTAACTTTAAGATTATTCCAAACCCACTCCTATTTTTCCTCTTTGGAAGAAAGCTGCTTCCAGTTTTACAGTGTGCACGGAAATGTTGCAACCCAAAGACTAAGTAAATTCAAGGCATGTCCCCCCTCCAACCCCCCCACCCTACCACATTAAATTCTGAGCATACTTAGCTGTAGCTTTCCTTTTAAGGTCAAAACCTTCCAGCATGAGCTTGGATCCAAGCATCTTTTAGCAGTGGGAGCGTATCAGTAAACAAATATACATCAAGGCCAGCCAAGCTCGTCCTTTTCAAAAAGGCTGGAAGGAGTTACGTTTAACATCTGGGACAAAAGGCAGATTTCTTTCTGCTTCTTTAAAGAAAGCTGGCACTTTGGGCCAGGGGAACCTGGATTCTTTTGCCCTCTGAACTGGGCTACTTATTGTATTCATACCGAAGTAGAAAGGATTGTGTGAAAGCTGACTGCCACGCTTCTTGTTTATAAATGGATAGCCCACTTTCATTCATATATGTATATGTATATGTGTGTGTGTGTGTGTGTGTGTGTTGTGTGTGTATACATACATACATAGTAAGGAAGAAAAAACAAAAAAGAAAGAAATCAAAGAGAAAGCTGAAAGTGCAAAAAAAAAAGAAAGAAGAAAAACAGAAAAGAAAGAAAAGATTCAAAGAAGTGGCTTCCAATATTCTTCACAGCAGTTATAAGTACAATTATATTTTAACCTGTCTCTCTAAAGTGATAGCCCACTTTCCTACCCAGGCCCTCAACTCTCTCCCAGTAGAAATAAAATAGTAGTTTTGGGCAGATTTTTGATACACAAAGCACAGCTATGGTTGTTCTTCTAGAATAAAAATTGGAGGCACACTTTACCTTAGCTTCACACTGAACTACCCTCTCTCCACAGGCAACAATTCCAAATTAATGATGGTTGAGTAGTTGGAAGAAGGACTGATCATTCAAACAACCTATTTTGCTTCCTTGCCTGGAAAACCACTTCAGAGAACACAAGCATTTTTCTGGGAAAAGACTTGGGAGTTGGTGCAGACATTGATCACCAATCTCTGGGCATGAGCTCAAAGGTATTTTGTTCCTTAATATTTAGCCTCTCAGAAGCACCATTTTCCATATGATAGACCTCAAGGTTCTCATAAAAAATAAAGGTCATCCCTCAAGCCTGAATTCCATCTTAGAGGATTGTCTATCTGAGATCACACAGTTTAGAAATGTGATAGCCATTTTTTTCAGACATAGAAAAAAAAAAAGAAACATCAACCATTAGTCCTCCTGTATTCTGGGGAAATATATAAAATGGGGAAAAAAACCCCAATATTTTTTTTGCAATATGCTGGTGATGTTATATCATTTTGTGCTAATATATTTAAACAGTATAGTTTTGGGGGTTAACTTTACATTTTCTTCACTGAATAACTTTTTTTCTTCTTAGTTCATGCCACCCACCTTAACGTTTTAATCTTCAATATCCTCATTTTAAAAATGTTATTACCTCTCAGATCCAGCTAATAGACAAATAGTAACCACTGTTTCTGAAGAGGCCTCTCCAAACCAGATAGCTCTAATTTTTTAAAATGTATTTATTTATTTAAATAACTTACACGGCCACTTACATCACAGAGTGATCCTAGGCAGCTCACAACGACCAATAAAAACAACAACATAAAAACAGAACAAACCCTTCCCCCCAGGCACCAGACGAACCATGCTATGGACCCCGTCTCAACCCCATCCTAGTCCAATGCTTGAACTGCAATTATTCTGGAGGCAGAGAAAATACTGTAATGTGGAACTCAATGAAAAATAATTTTTGAACACTTACTTGTAACAAAGAATTTTTTAGTGAAAGTGCAGCTATCAAAGGCAGCAATCTTCTCTTGTAAGACAACAACAAGAATCCTGAAAATATACAAACATACGTATATACAAAATAAAGAATGTTTGAAGTGCCAAAATACTTTAAAAATGTGCCCCCCTTTTTTTGGAATGGCATCACACAAGAGATCCATGCACATGAACCATTACAAGAGAAACAGGAGAGAAGGAATACACTATGTATGTGAGGAAGATTATAAGAAAAGCTGTATCTATGATCAGGGAAAATGCGTGTGTGTATCTATGTATGTGTGTGTGTTTGCATGCATGTATCTATCTGTAGGTATGTTTATTTATGTGTTTAGATGCACAGGAGGATGAGGAGAGAGAGAAGAATGTCTTACATACATTTTAAGAAAAACTATTCACTTTACACAAAGTACTTCAATGAGATATTTCAGCGTATTGGGTATCATTGCATTTTTTGTAAGCTGAATAGAAAAAGCAAGATTAAACTTGACTGTAGTAATTTTATTGCTTTTTTTTAGAGGGAGGGGTTACTGCAGTTATCCAGCAGAATTCCAGTTTGCACAGGGAAAATGAAACCAGCATTTACCAAGGACCTGATAATTTGCCTCACTTAATCCGGCTGAATTTTTATTGTATTAATATGGAACATATAGTTTTATATAAAAATGTAGTTGAAATGTAACTGAGTATTTCTAAGGCACTGGAAGGAAAGGCTGGGATAGAAATGTTTTAACATATGGTAGTCCTTCGGGTTCAAAGAAGACACACTGTTGTGCAGTTCATCTATGGACACGGAGGTGGCTCTGCAGTCCCACTCTGGAAGTGCAGAGTCTAGCACTGTGGGGACACTGGAAGTCCACTGTGGAAGTAACTGTGGGTGTTATTCTGTGACGCCGCTCACAGTTTTCTATCAGTTTTTAGCAGTGCCAGTCTGCAAAGCTGGTGGAGGCTTCAAGGCACAGGGCTTGCTAGCAGGTTCTGTCAGCAGCCGCAGCTTCTAGTTCCCTTGGCTGGATGTCACCGTGGCATAGGATTCTCTTCACAGCATCTCTGTAGGTGCTTGCATGGACGAGCTCGAGGTCTCTTCCCAATCTCCAGTACACCATAAAGCAACTGGCGAGGCATATGGTGGTAATCTGTTCTGATGACGTGTCCCACCCACTGCATCTGGGCTCTGATAATCAGGAACTCAATACTGGTAGACTCTGTGTGATCCAAGACCTCCAGGTTGGAGACACGTTCTTGCCAACGAATGCTGAGGATGGAATGGAGAGCGCACATGTGATATTTCTCCAGTTGTTTGATGTGCCTTCGGTACAGAGTCCAGGACTCACATCCATATAGGAGAGAAGGGATAACCACAGCTCTGAAGAGTTTCAGCTTTGTGGGGATACGAATGTTGTGTCAGTTGAGCACTTTAGTATGCAGGCACCCCAGTGCCTGGCTGGCTTTGCTGATCCTGGAGTCAATTTCTTTCTCCAAAGACCCATCACTCGAGACGATGCTTCCCAAGTATTTGAAGCAATGTTCAATGTGCAAGAAAAGAATCTTGTGGTGCAATGTTGTGCAAGGTTTGTAACATTAAATTAAAAAACAAAACAAAAACAAAAACAAAACACCTCTCTAGCCTTCTCTATTTCATACTCCCTTCTTCCTTCCTTCCTTTCCTTCTGGGTGGGGCATCCTACTCAATGGTTCTGAACAATAAGGGGCAGTGAAGTTGTATTTTATGGTCAATGGTAGATTCAACAGGAACTTTCACCTGTATAAGGTAACAGCATTGTCATATTCAAGAAAAGGGAAAGAATTAGGACACCCGTGATCCTATTGCCAACAATAAATGGCTGGAGGAAATGAAGGGGGGAAAGATCATACCTTGTTAACAAAACTGGTATTATACCTCATGTAATTTTTTTAAAACACTCATTTGCCCCAGCAATTCAGATTGAAAATCCATCAGACGCACCCAGTATATTAATCTGAAAAGGGTTTCATCCTCAAAAATAATCATATTGCTGTTTTTTATTGCAAATCTGCTGGGCCTAATAGCTATGCCTTATTTGCTAAAAGTGTTTTTCCTTGCTTTGACCTCCACTGCCTTCTATACAATGGAATTAAGAGGAGGAGAGGGGGAAAAATCACTTTAAATGATTACCAGGACATGAAGTGCAAAGATGAAATGTACCAAACAAAATTTCAAGGGGGGAGCAATGTGGAGCTGGGTTTGGGGGGTTCCTCTGAACAAGAGACCTCCTTTTCATCACCCAGAATATGCATCTCACTTATGTTCACAGTCTTCAACCCATCTCTCTTCTGCTCTTCAGAGAATTTCCCTAGAGAAAATTATTTCCTTTTGTCTGAAACTGCTTTATAACAAGACCAGGATATTCACTCTTTAACTCTGTAATATCCACCCTAAAGCCAGCTTTCCAAACTCTTAGGCAGAAGGAAACCCTTATCATCATTTCCAACCTGATCCTTTAAACCAGAGGTGCCAAGGAGAGAATCCAAGTTATTTGCAAAAAAAAGAAGTGCAGAAGAATGCGTGTGGGAGCTGCGGTCTGTTGTACCTCTCTCGAATGTGCCCATTATTACAAACATAGCTCTGTTCCCTTCAGGCCTTAGACAACTCACCGTGCATAAAGGGAATGTATCTGCCACATACAAGTCGGTTAGCGTGTTTAAATTGCTGGGTTCACATATAGCACAACAGGGCTAGTCCAACCAGCTGCATTGGCCTGGGGCACCCAGAGCACTAATCCCAAATCGATCCAAACACATTATGGTTTAGTGCAGTGTGTGAATTTGCCAGTGTGTAAGGAGCACCAGCAGCAGTAGCAACAGCTCAGGGTAGTGTTATAAATACTGGCTGAAGGATGCAACTGGACAGAAACACATTCTTACGAGGCTTAAAGCATGTTGCCAAGAGCCAGCGTGTGGGACTCCACTGAGCATCAGCATGGATGAGTTAGGTAGCAGTCCATAGCTCAGTTCTGTGTGTATGCTCCCTGGACAGATGTTTTTAATTTCACTAGGTGCTTCTGCCAATCACAAGATACACCATAAAATCTGAACCATGGTAGCCCAGCAAAAACACCAGACTTTGGCTTTCTTGGACATGTACCTGGCAAATGTATTTTTAAATGTGCATACTGTCTGAAGGGGATGGTTAGATTATGGCTCCCAGGTGCTTTCCCTAGTATGTTTCTATGGATATACTGGCTACTCTTCATGCTTTAGTTTTCAATTTCTCAATAGAGGCTGTAGGAAATCTTTGGAGCCAAGGAACTTGATTGAAAAGGCAGCAAGCATGAGAGCAGACAATCTGATAAGACAGTAGGAGAGGAGCAGACAAACCAGAAGATTGTGGGGCAGAGATCTTGTCTAAAACTACTAGGATGCTATGAAGAACAACAAAGGAGAAAATGGTGACCTGAAAGTATTTAAAAACTTGGCCAAGTCAGCTGTTCCCACCAGGCTGATGCAAACAGAGGATGGGAACTTGTCTAGGACAATCTTACCTCTGTTCCATGCAAGTTGCTCACTGCCAAAAAGAACAGGATGTGTACCAAGAGGCTCATCATTAAACACCATGGCTTACACTAACATCACCACATGGAAACTTTAAAAGCATATCTCCAGGGTAAGTTTAGATGAGAGTTCTTTTTCTACATTTCCATTTAAATATATTTATACATAAAACCAGCACAAGCAAACCTGGGCCTTTTCTTTCAGCAATACCTGCCACTTCTTCTAGCCACACTTCTCTGACCAGGCAGTTGCAATAACATGAAATTACTGCAACCAAGGGAGAGGGCTTTAAAAACACTGGGTGAGAAAGATATTTGGAGATTAAAAGTAAGTACCTTCTGTTGCAGTGGAGATCATAAATAGGTGTTTTGAACTGCACAGATTTGACTATTTCACCTGTTCGCAAAGAATGAAGATCCACACAGCAATAAGGAGGGCTGGTACTAAAAGAGAAATCAGAGAAATTCAGCTCAGCTGTTACATACTTGAATACATCACTGTCAAAAAGCAATGTGATTTATTAAATTGATAGCATTAGAAGAACCAATCTCTGGGTCACCTTTTTTTAAAAAAAGCAAAGCAAAATGCAATAATCAAAAACAAATTATAAAAATAAAGATTAAAAATATCATTATAAAAACACTAGGGCAAAATAGCTACAATTAATTTAAAAATGGTATACTTAAAATGGTGAAGACACAAGGAATGATTAAGAGGACTGGGTGACCACAAATGGCTCTTCTAGGCCCCCAAGAGATCATAAAAGCAGGTGCCAGGTAAGTCTTTGGGGAGATGTAAAACACCAATAACTAGCCAATAATGGAGAAGCTCTGCCATTTAATGGCTGGGTCACAGAGAGCAGATCTTCTGAAAATGCTTTTATGGTTTGGGAAGGCAGAAAGAAAGGCAACTGTTTACAACTGTGTAACATGACTCTCGAGGAGGGCAGAAATACTACAGAACAGAGTACTGGATATGAAATCATTTCTGTCAGTTCTTATTTAGAATACACACAGAGGTTTTCTAGTCCATAAATTGTTACAAAACGGCGCATGAAAGTCCACAGGAAGCTCAGGAAAAGGCTGAGCCAGATTTCCAGTAACTGAGTTTCCAGGAATTCAGTGTCTTGCATAGCTCCTGAGTCCAGGTACTAACAAAGCTTGGACTTGTCATGTGAAATAGTTTCAAAATGCAGATTATACAGTTCAAAGTAAAAGAAACTTGCATAAAGTTGCTCAGTGCCATTGTTTTAGCTAAATATATATATTCACTTGCAATTATAAATTGTACATGTCAGCTTATAAACATAACACATACAGAGTAACATAGGTAGGTGTTTAACTGGGCACTGCAATTACACCAGCTTTAATTGGATGTGTAGGTCTACAGGGTCCTCAGACAAGCTGGCTGGGGATGATGGGAGCTGTGGCCTCACATATCTGGAGAGTGTTAGTTGAGGGAAGGCTGATGTACAGATCTGAGCTAAAATTAGACAATATTATGGAGGTTGTGGAGGCATGAACAATGAAACCAACTATCCCAAATATCTTCCCCTTTTAACTAAAAGGCAAGATGTCATGTTATGAAGGCTCCCCTCTCACACAATGAAGCATAAGAAAATCTGCAAAACAACAATACTGCTGTGGTTTGCCAGAAATCACAGGGGGACTCTGCCAGAGATACAGGAGGATACCCCCCCTTGGCCAATGATTTCTTTAATGTCTTGTTTCAGCTTCTGTGTTTTGATGCAGGGACTGTAGGAGACTGAGCAGTTAGGAACCTCGTGATTGCACTGAAAAATACAGGCTTTGCTGGAATGGTTCCTCCTCAGATCTCATGGCTCAACAGATGAATAACACGGCTGCTTGTGTCACCCTAGTACAAAGAATCCATGGTCAATTTAATAGACTCCTTATTGCTTTTAACATCAACAAAATATACGTAGCATGTGTCACTTTTATCATTTTAATATAAATAAGGTTCTCCAGCAATTCCTTTGTAAAAAGCCAGATTTCTTTCAACAGAAAGAGTGCAGAAGGGGCAAAAGGCATTGTGGTGGGTGCTGTTCTGCAAGCCAGAAAGAAGCTTTGATCTGGCAGTTTGCAGGACACCTACTTTTTCCTCCCCTCCTCGTTCAAAGGCTGGCTGTTTCTAGGCTCTGTACATTAAAGTTGCACAGAATGACCAGCTGTGTAAATATATACCAAGACATATCAAAAAGAGGGGATTCACTATAGCTAGGGGCACACAAATAGGAGATTGGGGCATAAACCTGCCCCTTCAGGCTTTGTGAAAATATGTGGGAATACATAATCACATGTATCTGTAGATTAGGAAAACTCTCAGCACAAGGAAAACAAAATGTCTAGGAGGAAACTTTAGGAAAGACTCATGTTCTGTATACAAGATTTAGGTTGTTTTTTTTTTAATTATGAAGACTTCACCCTGTGTCATCTCCAAAGAGCTATTAGACATCTTCAGGATGTAATCCTGCATCTATGAAAGAATGACAAGCTCTCCCTACCACAGCATCCAGTGATCCTCTGCAACAGACCCTTGTCCCCATCTCATGTCTCCCTTTCCAAAAAGCTGGATAAATGAGACATTTACAACCAAGATTTTTTTTTAAAAAAGGTAATATTTATTTAGGATATTTATTATGTACAATATATTTATTATCTTCAAAAATGTGGGTCAAAGATTATTAATACTTATAATTGCCATAAATATAAACAGTGCTTCACAATCACATTTTTGGACAAATGGTTGCTAAGGATAATTTCACATTATTTAGTCAATTTGTCCAGAACTGCAGAAAGGCACAGTAATGGGAAGAAAAATAAAGAGTGCACCAAGGTACTTTTTTCAAGTGGCCTTTACTAAAGTGTGCTACATATGACTGATACACAAAACAGCAGAAGCGTTTTAAACTCCCACAAATTGTGCAAGGCATGGAAACACTTATTTTGTTAAATCAGAAAAAGGTGCCCCAACTTTAAGCCATGTGCTACTAAACCTAATCCCTTCTTGAAGTTGGGAAAGTAGCAGTTACTTGGAAATAGGATAGTAATCCTTTGTCCTAAATTCCCAGGGCATGCTGCAAAAATGAAATTCAATTGAAATTACAATGCCCTCATCTCGAAGGCACCAAACAACGGGCACCCCTCCACCCTCTTGCTGCTCTTCCTCCATTGTCACATAACACGTTGCTTCTTTTCAACACAGCAGTCTCCCCCTGAGTGTCCCATCCCCTTCTGCAAAATCCAACTAGCCACTTTGTGCCAATGTCATTAACATGTCTATCTCTTGGCCCCTATCCCATTGCCACTGGCCACTGACAATGACAACAGGGAGAAGGTTCATTCCTCCCAGTGTTACAGAGGAATGAAACTCCCTGTGAGTCTACAGCAGAAGATGCTTGTAATGGACAGTTCTGTCCTCAACCAAGGAGTGCTAGGTTTTCCCTGGAGCAGTGGGAGTCAGGGGCAGGGGGAAGAAGAAAAGGCAAGTAAGGCAAGAGAAGAATTTATCTCATGTACTATTTCTACCTTCTCAGAACGCTGCAGAATCAAAATATCCCACTTCCTTGGTGACGCCTCGACATCGTAAGACATAAGATGCGTAGCAAGGGGCACAATGAAGGATAAGGAGAGGAATCTTAGACTGCCATCTTTGGGCTCCCTCTCATCTGTTCTCTGCTCAACACAGAAGATACAAATCAAAACTCTGGGCCACAACAAATGCCATCTAGCTGAATTAGGAGATGGCAACTGACCCACTGATCCCCAATAATCCATCCCTGCCCACTGTGAAAACATGACTGTTGTCTGTCCTAAACTGGCTGCCTATCAGATTGCATACACATGAATGTTATCCCTTAGTTCCTCCATCTCTGAGCATTTCTGTAACTGCCAATGGGCACGGCCACATGTTGAAAATCAAAGCTTTAGCTCTGGCATTGATCACTGAGAGCCTGCCAAGGAGCTATAGCTCAGCACCCACAAATTCAACCCTGAGCACCTCCAATTAAATGATCAGGTAAGCAGCAAGTGGTAAATATTACTTCTCTGCCCAAGACATCCACGAGTTGCTCCTTCTTCGAGCAGACAGTCCCAAGGCAGATGAAAAAGGAGCTGACCAGACAGCATAGCTACTTTGCAAAACCAAGCAAGGCCCAGCAGCTGAGTCAAATGGTCTATGGTCCAAAATGAGAGCAACACAGGGAAGGAAAAGAGTGATATTTCACCACACAGCAACCCTCCCTGCATTGCTTATTTGATCAACTGTATTATCTGAACCTGGCCAGTCTCCACCAGCCAGACAGGAAATCATACGGTCATGCAGCAATTTGGGTCTCTGAGACAGCTGCCTGTCTCTGCTGCCACAATGACATTGGGAAAGCATGGATATGAGGCCCCCTTGGAAAAGCTCAGGGCCAAAAAAAAAAAAAAAAAAAGCAAAGAAACAGGCAGGCAGATTAAGCAAAAAACCAGTTGGTTCAGGCCTGGCAAAGCCTCAGTATGTGGTTCTGAAAATAGTAGACTTAAAAAAAATGTTAAATATAAGTATATAAATGTTTACATTTACAAGAATCATAATGCCTGACAAATTATTAATACCTTTGAAATTTTCTGCATGAGTAATTTGGATGTTTTTCACCAGCCGCTAACAACACTCCCTCAAAATTACAGTTGAGCACTGAATTAGGAGTACGTAGAAGTCTTTCACAAGCACATACAGAACACAGAGTTGAGGATATGTTGTAAAGGGCCTGTCAGTTTCCCACCTTGTTCTATTCAGGCTTTGCTACTTCACAGCAGTTTTGTCCCCAGTCCGGCTCACCTCTGGAATGGACTTGCTAAGCTAAACGGAACGACATAGTTCACCTCTCCAGAGATAATCCTCAAGCTCTACAACCAGGTGTAAAAAATTAAATGGTAGCCATGATGGTGTGCTCAAAACTCCACCTGTTTTTTATGTGCATCACACAGGCAGAGCTTCAATTACACCATTGTGGCTACCATCTTGACCTTTTTTTAACCATATCCTGTGGATCCTCCTGTCAACAAACATACTTTCCTAGGGAGAAATCTTTGGATTGTGCAAGTTTTGTGAATGGGCAATTTCACATTTATTCAATGTACCTACCAAACCACACAAACCATAAAGAACTTTTTAAAAGACAACGGTATACAGGGGTACTTAAGATTAGAAAAGCCTATCCTAGAGAGAGCTACAGTTACTTGGGTTATTCAAATAAACGTACATCATAGTCCTGTTTGACGTCTTTTGTCTTTTTGGTGAGGAAAAAAAAAAGACAACTCAACAATACAGAAAAATTAGCAAGAGCAAAGGGCATTAAGATAAATTTTAAAAATCAAAACGATTCACAATTCTGCTGACCTAATTTTAATTTTAAAAATAGAAAAACTATCATAAAGTA